CATACATACATACATACATACATACATACATACATACATACATACATACATACAGACACATACACACACACACACACATACATACATACATACATACATACATACATATGTTTATTGTAGTGGTTACTCGTTCAAGTGATCAAAGTGAACTCTTTTATGTACAAGGGAATTATTCCATTCTATCCTGATACGCTGTAAATAAGTAAATAAATTAATCGACCAACCGTCTCTCTCCGCTCTAATAAATACTAGGGGGAAAAATATTTCAAACTAAAAAATAAAAAGTGTGCACTTGAACACTGTTACCGAACCCCTCTGCAGCATTCGTGATTATCACAGGGCTGAAATACATTAAATATTAAAAAGGATTTCAATAAACGAATGCCGGTATTTTAATCTGATGTATTTAATGAATAGCATAGGATGAAACAAAACAAAATGTAAGTTGAGCTAACAGTGAATTGATATTTACATTAATTAAGCTTTCGGCTGTTTTGATCTGAAGGGTCCTGACCATGGTGTGTGATACTCAGAATTACAGGGTGTTCGAACTTCGTCCATCATCCGGTATTCTAAAAATCAGAAAATACAACGTCTCGGATACTGGATCTGTTTCCTTCCTCAGGTGAGAGACGAGATATCTACTCTGTTGGGTCCCTCAGAAAGGCTAACCTCAATCTCTCAGTCCAGCGATTGAGGTTAGCTCAACAGAGCAGCTGTCTCCTCACCCACCTGAGGACGGAAACACATCGAGTTTCCGAAACGTTGAGTTTTCTTGTTTCTAGAATACCGGACGATGGACAACGTCCGAAAATGCGGTAGTTCTGAGGACTTTGGGCTGTTGATTAAGTATGTAAATAAATAAAGAAAAAATTTAATTTAATTTAAATATTCTCATCTTTGTTTCTCGGCATACAATCAGGATGCAACTCAGCTGCGCTCCAACACATCTTGTGCAGCTGCAATCGCATGTCAGATGTTCCTCTTTCAGCTGTTATGACGACATTACTTTCACAAACTCTTGAATTCTGGGGGGGAGGGCACTAGACCATCCAACAAATAACAGTTATACTAAGAGGTACAGATAACGTGAAACTGACACTGCGTAGAAGTGACAAGTCTTTGACTCGAATTTGGGAGGTGTTCGGATCGAATATGAGCCGAACCCGGGTATGCTGAGGATTTCATGGTTTTCTTCCGTCCCCTCAAGGCGATTGTGGGGTTGATAAGTCGGCTACACCATGATATCTTCCTTCCAAGCTGTCTGCAAATCATTATTTATGAACAATCCAACCACAACTATGTACACACTAGGCGCTGACATCGCCGTAAAGCCACCAACATCACGTGAATGTGTAGTGTGCACTCACACGCACAGAAATGACAGGATGAATTTCCTTCGCAGGTAAACAAAGAGTAATTTGTATGAGGCCACTGAGGAAATAAGAAGTCTTCATCAAAATTGGGTACCCAAAAGTTTCTGTAATGTTACGTGACAGTAACAGAAAATCCGTTTTTCAACAAGCGTGCAGGTAGAGGAGGATCGCTTTCTTGGCCTCCCTGTCCACCTGACCTCAGTCCATTAGATCTTTTATAGTTATAGAACAGACTGACTACCGTAACCACGGCAATTAAAATCAGTTAAAAGAAAGCCTATGGAAAGTGAGGGGTGCAGGTATCCAAGATGGAGCGAAGCTGAAATACAGGTTGCATATATGCTGGGTTACAAATGGAAGTGATACGCCCAAAATAATTAATGCTCTCTTGTTCGTAAGTCACAATTTGTTTTGTTGTTTTACTGAATCATCTCATCCATTGCACACTGAAGTCTGAAATACTAATATTAAACTGCGAAATCATTGCATGTCAAAAGAACTGATATTTCAGCTCGCTGATATTATGCATGACCCTTCAGAATTTATCTCTGCACCGCCGAGGGCTCCACTTCAATATAACAGAGGGACAATAATTACTTAACTCCTCTCCCCCGCTCTCCAGATGATAGACGCTCATCTCCATTAAGATGACAAGTTCCTTTCTTTCCTGTTCTACACCCCCGTGTCCTTTGACTTGTAAATGAGAACCAGCGTTTCGCTTTCTATGTAAAGTAGGAAACAAGAGTAACCTTTCTCACTCTTGCTGACGATGATGATGTCTGAAAAGATGATGATTACAAAATGGCAGGATCGTCACAGCACGAGATGAAAATGGGCCCCGTCACACAATCAAAAGAAATATCTCTCAAGATCATAAGTCCGGAAACTCGATTTGCATTTTGCAGCTTTTGTCTCCACCCTCATCAGGACTTATTATTCAGATATATATATATATAGTTGATCTTGCCCGGTAATGGCAAACTCATTGAGTCCCAGTTACAACTGGCACCACTGTCAGTAACTAATTACGAAATCTCGTGTTGAACTTCATTAATTCCTCGAAAGAATCATTTCACGAAGCAAGCGCACAGTTAAATGATTATTTAAATTCAAATTAACATGGAATGGCACGTTGGTCGCCTTTGGGCGGTGTCAATTAGCACTGTTGTACAGGATATTTCATGAAAAATTGAGAGGTAGTGACTCATCTGTCAATTAAATTCTCATTTTCGGAATTGTAATAAGCATTAGTGTTTACAAACATGAACCATTTTACCCTATCCTGAAGCATTTAAATTCATTCCACGAATTCTAAATCTCGTTTGTCTAAAACCATTTTAATATTGTCTTCCTTTCTATTCCCAGTTGTCCCAGTAGTCTCTCACAGAGTTTCGTCAACAAGAGTATGTGTTTCTCGTTCCTTCCATCAGTGCTATATACTCCGTCAAGATTAAGACCGCGCTGAGATTTACATGTGAGGCACGCAGTAGCGTACTTGGTTGAGCCACTATGCTACAAGCCGGAAGGTTGCGGGTTCGATTCCCGATGTGGCGGTTTTCTTTTTTCAATTTATCTAAACGTTCCAGCCGCACTATATAACCCTGGAGTCGACTCAGCCTCTAACAGAAATGAGGACCAGGAATCTTCCTCGGGGTAAAGGGGGACCGGCGCGTAAGGCTGCCAACCTCACTACCATCTGTGAGCCGACTGTCTAGAAAATGTGGGAGCCTCAACGTCTCACAACCCTGTGGGCTTTCACGGTCTGCTACAGAAATAGTTTTGGCTATTTTCTTTTACCCCTCACATATGTTGGAAGCCTTGTGTTTAAGCACAGGGGGCAAATTGTTGCCGTTGGCCTTTGCTTACTGCTAGATGTATTGTACAGTACACATCTCACATGTTTAGGATTCACTTCACAAATCTGGTAATAATGCTACATATTTCGGGTACACTTAGAAGAATGTAGTAAATCAATATTACATAACTCATATTATTTGTTGTAATTACAGAATATGCAATGATCTATATAATGATCGAGAATGATATTCAGTGACCCCATTCCGAAACTTCGTGCACACGAACTCAATCTCAGATAATTATGTTGGTATAAACAAATCAATTCCGTCGCCTAGTTTCGGAGGTCGAAACACTAAGTAGAACAGTAACGACTTTCCCAATAAAACTTAATTTTATGTGATGACCATATGATAATAATAATAATGATCTTAATGTAAGTAAAGTAAAGCTATCCCTGTAACAGGGCGTGGAGGCCCATAGGGTTGTGAGATGTTGAGATTCCCACAATTTCCATACAATCGGCTCATAGATGGCGGTAAGGTTGTCAGCCCTACGCGCCGGCCGCCCTTTACCCCCAAAGAATATTCCTGGTACTCATTTCTGTTACAGGCTGAGTCGACCCCAGGGCCATAGTGCGGCCGGAAGGATTAGGTCAATTGAAAAAACTCCAATGACTTCATCGGGACTTGAACCCGCGACCTTCCGGCTTGTAGCATAGTGCCTCAACCAACTACGCTACCGCGTGCCCCAATAATACGTAATTATCTTACAAAGTAAAACATGAAAACCCCTGTTAATTCACACTATAACTGGATCCATGTTCTCAGTAAGACGGTAAAAACAATAATAACAATTGACTACGTAACGTTTCTGGCATTGTACCAACTTAAGATGTGTCCAAATATGTACTGTAATATTTAAATAATTATTAGACAGGACAAAGTGGTACTGACGAACTTAAAGAAGCAGAACCTAATTGTAATATAAAACACAACAGGATGCAGAATGTACGCGTGCTGTCAATGCATGGGCATTGCATTTGATTTTGATCGAGTACTTCTTGCACACATTCAAAGGCAATTCTCCCAGATCAATGAAACTGATTACGAGTACAGAACTAGACACGTGACGACTGCACTAGGACAAGGAAGTGAAGCTTACTGTGATGGTGACATTCCTGTACGTGACGACGAGGTGTGGAGGCACGTAGTCCATTCGGCAGCCGCGGAACAGCGGACGGTAGCGCCCCCCTTCTGGAAAGAGACATCGATTTTCCGTTAGAAATGTGAATTGCGTGTTGCAGACTCCATGACTGACATAAGGTAAAATTCCACACATTCTAAACTTCTATGCGGAACTAGGCGAAGATGAATGCTGGATTTTACGATATCGTCATTTCTGTGGCTAAGTTCCCCGGCGGTGGAGAACCGGGGGATACAGCCCACTTCTGGACGTGATGCTGAAAATAAGGTGCATTCCAAATTCAAGTAGCCTACGCAGGTCTTCAAAATGTAGCTTTTTAAAAGAATTTTAATGCCTTGTTATTTAAGGAGGTTTACTGCTTATACAAATCTATTTAAAGAGCTTGGATAGCGCAGTCGGTATAGCGCCTAGCTACGAGCTGGACGACAGAGGGGTCGGAGTTCGAGTAACGGTAGGGTCAAGGATTTTCTCTTCTCCACGTCGTCCAGACCGACTCTGGGGTTAACCCATCCGCCTATCTTATCCTCAGGGGTAAAAAGACAGGGGAATGAAGCTGACCTAGTGTCGAGGTCAAGAAAATGGGAATCTATATATTCACTCCCCCATACGCCTTCGTGGCGTAGTGCTTAATTAGTTAAGTACAGGGACAGCTTTACCTTTAACTTTTTACTTTACAAATCTATTTAAAGACGAAACAGCAACTGACATAAATAAACCAGCAGTGAAGTGATGGAACACAGTCACTGGACGATCTATTCACTCAGTGCTGACGCCAATATATCCATTTTCCCGCAGACTGCAATATGTCTTAGGCTACTACGGAATTGGCATTCAACTGAATTAGATAAAGAATATGGCATTTAAAGCACGGGGAGTCTGCGAACAAAGTTAGTGCTACAGTTCAATTCAGGTGACACTGCATAATAGACGTTGCAAAGAAACATGTCTTCGTCTGCAGGTTCGAAGAATAGGAGAAGAAAGAGGCAAGCATGAAAAAGTTGGAAGAGGAAGGCGGCATGTTCCTCCGAAACGTCGGTTGACTTTAAACGGACTATACGGCATTACATCCCAGAACATGTAACTCTTCATAACCTCCGCTGTGAGAACTTCATAATCCTGTATATATATTATTTTTCTTTGTTACCTCGCATGCGTCGTTGACGTTTATGCTTACAGCTTGTACAAGCTTACACGTACTTCACATTAACGTTAATATTACAACTGAATTTGCTAGAGAATAATCTAAAACTTACTTACTATATCACTTAAGAGGCTATTTTTCCCCGTCTATAATACAAGAAATTAATACCAACGATTCACATTTAATCCATACAACGATCTTCAGGCAACACTTTCACATGGAGTCTAATGCACTGCGCACTAACCAAACATCACTCTTTCAGTTACGTCGTTGATATTTTCTTCATGCTTTTTCGAAATGCGGCTGTTTCTGTATTCCGTTGCTTGTTTTCTTTATTATGTGTATCAAGTGTCCCTTTGCGTTCCTGTATATGGCCGAAATATATGAAGTGACAGGAGGTTGGAGAAAACTGCATAATGTGGAGCTTCATAACTTGTACTCTTATCCAAGTATAATTAGAACGATCAAGTCAAGGAGGATGAGGTTGGCAGGTCATGTAGCACGAATGGGGGAGACGAGGAATGCGTATAGGATATTGGTGGGAAAGCCAGAAGGAAAGAGACCACAGGGAAGACCAAGGCGTAGGTGGGTGGACAATATTAGAATGGATCTTAGATAGGATGGGATGGTATGGACTGGATAGATCTGGCTCAGGATAGGGACCAGTGGAGGGCTCTTGTGAACACGGTGATGAACCTTCTGGTTCCATAAAAAGCTGGGAAATTCTTGAGTAGCTGCAGAATTGGCGGGTCCTCCAGAAGGGCTCAGCTCCATGAGTAAGTAAGTATATGGCCGAAATGAGTATCATTCTGATAATGCATATATATTTTAAGAGTTCAATAATTTTAATAACATTTTATACATTTAACGATCATTGTATGGGATTAAATGTGAATCAGTGTTGTGAATTTGTTGCATTATAACGGGAAATAATAGACTATAAATGGCACCTCAATGCAACAGGATGTTCAAATATAATATTATGAAAGATATATATTATGAAGAAAACGTGTGATGAGAATCAGTTCAGAATGGACACCGTTAAAATCTGTTAATAACAAACTCCGTGGCCTGCAGTCCGCAAGCGAACTATACCGACCGAGCGACTGCCGCTTGTAGAAGAAGTTAGTGCCAAATTTTGCGGATAGAGGGTGTCACGTGGTTAGCGAAACGGATACCAACGGCCCTTAATCTCGGTTTTCACACTAAAAGATTATCTGTTCCCGTACTCGTTTAAATTTTCAGCACATCGCTGAACATTTCAAGTAAAATTTTGTGGGTCCTAGGCAAGTCTACATTTTATGATATGTAAAAATGAGGTTTGACGCGGAGATATTTTCCTCAATGCCGATTAAATTCATTTTGAAATTCTACTAGGGTTAAATCTCACCGACATGAATCAAAATTAAATTCGAGCCGAAGGAATTCAGTGTAGTCCCTATACAAAATTTTATCGAAATCTGCCCAGTTTATGTCGTACCATGTGCGGACGAAAGAACAGACCACCATGACATAACATACATAATCATAAATCATATCGTATTTTATATACATATATAATTACCCTACTGTAGATCTGAATATGCTACCTTGTTATGTAACTACAATTTCCTAGAAAAATATGTTTATAAAATGGTGCAGAATACATTACATTGCATAAGCCTTTATTTTCTATTTCAAGAAGAAGAAGGCGAGAGAATCTTGTAATTACTTCCGCGATGAAGGCTGTTTGTTTTTATAACATGAACTTGCCTCGTTATTGCTATGTATGAGTGTAATTTAATTATAACCGTCGTCGAGAAAACTGTCACTTTACACTTAAAACTTCATGTAATGTTCGCTGAATGTTTAATTTGTAAGTAGGATTCGCAGTCACAGGGTACTCACACGCATGACGGCCTACATACTAACAAATATACACATTCACAAAGAATATTATGTTTCTATTCAAGAGGTGCATTGTTCGAATCTCGGCTGGGACACCAACTATTCGGACTGAAATTCTCTCAGTCCCTCCAGTCAAATGTCACAACGGTCCCTCGAGGAGAGCCACACCCAACCGCTTTCATCCACATCAATACCAATCCATTATTCACAGCCCTATTGTTCGTCGCTACGGAGTCTAAGTTGACCGCCTCTGTTGTCTAGTGGTCAGACTTCCTGGCTACAGGTTCGGAGGTCCGGGTTCGATTCCCGCTACTACCAGATTTTTTGGAGAAGTAGTGGGTTTGGAAAGGGGTCCACTCAGCCTCGTGAGGATAACTGAGGAGCTATATCAAGGAAATATACTCCGGTCTATAAACCGGAAATTAACGGCCGTGGGGATTCGTTGCGCTGACCACGTGAAACCGTCTATCCGCTAAAGTTGGCGCTAATTTCGCCGACAGGAGGCGGTCGCTCGGTCGGTATAGTTCGCTTGCGGACTAAAACCACGGAGCATTTTATGGAGTCCGACTTACTAACGTCGTCTTTATATAACCTACACATAGACAGCAGAAACATAACAAATAACTTCATGCAGCACAGTCATTTGTAACACGCTGGTAGTTATCTAGCTGTTCAAGATATTACCCGCCTTTAATGGAACCCGGCCGGTCACGGTAGCCGAGCGGTCTAAGGCATGTACTGTCTTCGCTCGCTCGGAAGCCGGGATCGTGGGTTCGAATCCCACTCAGGGCATGGATGTTTAATTTTTGTGTGTATGTGTATGTGCGTTTTTCTGTGTTTGTGTGCAGGTAGAGATCATGAAATGAGCTGATCACCCGCCCAAGGAGTCCTGCCGAATGTCTTAAGATCTAGTAAACCGAAGTGAAACGGAGAGTTTCGTGGAGGTAGGCTAAGGCCCAAATTGGGGCTGTAGCGCCAAAGGAAAAAAATGGAATCCGAAGATGCATTCCCTTCATGGGATATGAAGTCCTTACGGCAGTGGTGCTTTACGTCCTCATGTTCCTGATTGTGAAACTGTGTAGCATCGTAAACGTGTACCGAAATTTCGTATTAACTTGCTATCTCCATCGTCAGGGCGGCAGTAGATTCCTACGAAATGTCGGTAACGAACCCAAAACATTGTGCGACGTCACCACCCAGAAGAGTACAATCTAAAATTATTACCAGGGCCCGGATTTTGATGACATGTCATCTTTTTTTCCTTGTATCCTATGCGATGCTCTTAAATATATAAATCTCGGATATGAGCTGCTGGTTAGAGAAATGTAAAGTTTATAGGTAATTTTTTTTCATTTTTTGACATTTTAAAGTTTAAGGTCATTTTTTCATTTTGGGGGTATTTTTTTTTTTTACTTTTAAGGGCATTTCTTGTCATTTTTGGCCATTTTAGGGAATTTTTCTTCATATGTTTTCTGAAATGTGAATAACATGGAAGCGAAGTGTTCTTTCTTTTCTCCTTTAGGTCATTTTTCTGGATTCTTTCGGTCATTTTATAGGTCATTTTTTAAATATTTTCAGGTCATAAAAATCCGGGCCCTGGTTATTACATTGTTCAGAAATCCCGCCACTGGACCTTATCTTGAGCTAGTTGAATAAACTCCAGGACACATACTTACATTATATTTTAAACAAATTTTAATATTTTCTTTCCACCTGCTCCTCTGCCTTCCAAGTGGTGGAGTCCTTTCGCGTTCCAAGATTTCTCAACTCTCACATGCGTGAACACGCCTCGTCTGTCTCTTCTTTGATTGAATCGCCTTTACATAATTTGGTGAAGAGTCCAAGTTTTTAAGCTCTTCCTTATATAGTTTCCCCCATCTTCCTGTTACGTGCTCACCCTTACATCCAGACAGACTCCAGAGAATCCTTTCCTCCTACATCTTTATTCAAGTTTCTTTCCTTACGGCAACACGAGTTTCATTTCTATATAAACAACTGGGGAATTTATAATTTTGCATGTTT